ACGGCAAAAATAACTAGAAATGTTACTTGAGCACCAAATGATGGATTATGTGACAATGAAGACTGGCGTTATATATTAATCTATATTAAAATATAAGTTATTTTAAGTTGTAAAAATATTTCACAATTTTACTGTTTTTATTATTTTTCATCAAATAAATGCAGCCTTGGTCAGCATAAGAGACTTTTTTCAAAAACACAAAAAATTCTTACCATTTTTTTACTATCCCCAAACTTTTGAACTGGAAAAAACAACCTAATTTTATATTTGGGCATGATAAGAAATTTATGATAAGCACTAAACTAATAGCTACCCAATAGGTAGATTGAAATTGGAAGTTCTCAACTAAAGCAGATACTTGAATTCCCACCGAGTTTCCACTAAAACACACTTCCTTTCTCTCTTTTATTAGAAAATAAACCTGGGAATACAAAGTCAGGCTCCAATGGAGAACGATTAATTCAAACAGTATGTTCCCAAAAGGGAGTCGCCGAAGATCATCTCCAGCCATGCCCCGGATCAAGGCTTATCTCAGAGACTCTAGCAGTAGCTGAAGTCGGTGGCCAAGCCCAGGTCAGACATGAATCGCATCAGCGGGAGCAGAATTTGGGTCAAATGGAAGTCCAAGATGGGATATGATGAAGAAAGCTGGGGTGCGAGGAAGAGCAGTTAAGCACATTTTGAACTCGAACAGCCGCGCATGGTTAGGACACCACATGATGGTGATGTTGACACAAGTAGGGGTGTGCATTTGCCTGGGTGGTTGCGCACGCTGGAAATCAGGTGGTTCAAGAGATTGAACAACGTTCAGTTCAATTAGCTATTCTACGTCAGAGGCCACTGGAAGGGTAAGACAGGCACCTAAGAAAATACATAACCAAAATCACATGGACCATTGTGTTTCATTATCTGTTTGGCAATCTCATCTACCTTACATTACATCCAACCAATATTACACTCTGGGATTAATCCTTACAGTTTATGTAAAGGTTTAAAATGGCACAAGAACTTATTTGCACATCTGCATGGCTCTCTGTGGGGTTTTGGTTGCGGTCAGTAGAAATTTATTTTAAAAAAAGTGGGATATTCACAGATTGTTCCCAATTTGACTCCATTTTGTGCAATCTACCCTTCACCCCATTACGTGATTCCCTTCTTTTATACTCCCTTAATCCCTTCAATAAATCCCAATACTGAACACAGATGAGCCAATACACCAGGAGGTCTCAAACTCCAGTCACTTAGAGGCCAATGCGGTGGGCAGGTTGAAGAATCGCAATAGTATACGTTTTTTCTATTTGAACCTGAATTTCATTCACTACTGTTCGAAAGTCTGGGGTCAGTAAGATTTTATTCAGCATGGGTGCATTAAATTGATAAGAAGTGACAGTAAATACAGTTACAAAATATTTATTTTCCCATAGGGAGATGTGTTTCTTGAGCACCAAATCAGCATATCAAAATGATTACTAAAGAATCATGTGACACAGGAAACTGGAGTAATGCCTGCTGAAAATTCAGCTTTGCTGGAAGGAATAAATCACACGAATAAACTAATATTTAAAACATATCAAAATAGAAAACATTTACTTTACTGTCAATCACTGTCTATTTAGTGCACTGTGTGGTATTCACTATACCGGAGATATACTGTAGGAGTAAATTAGTGAACAACAGAGTGATTCGCTAATGCTAAGAGGAACTACTTTTGATGAATACGAGCATGCAATCCTGCTTGTTGTCTTCATATTCCTGTTTTAGGCCTGTAATAAGGCATGTTGAAATAATATAAATTCAGCTACCATCCAGATTGGACCGGTGGAAACTGACCAAGTACTGGTGGAGAGAGGAAAAAGGGACAAAGTGGAACGAAAGGCTGGGCTGGGGCGACTGGAAGCAGACCAGCAACAGAACAAACGGGTATCTCTGATTACAACTCATGGTGTCCACATGCATTTGCTCATGTCAGAACGCGAATGCATTAAAACCTGCTAGTAGAATACGCATCTACCTCAGTCCTGCCTACCTAGATGAATACACATACTGTTTTATTTTCCAACTTGCCCTCTTCTTTCAAGCATCATCAGAGACTAAATTAACTTTCCAGAAACCAGCGTTGGGGAAGCTACTTTGAAACTCTAGCTTTTCAAGCTACACACCACTCATAATTTAAAGTGATTAAAGTACAGTGAAGCTTCTATTGAGGAAAAAAGTAAGTTACAAAACTAGTCTCAGAAAGCAACAAACTACATTCCTGCATTAAAGCTGGGGGGATAACATCTGTCTTTAAATATAAAACTACATGATTATATAATTACTTGTTTCACAGAAGCAGTATATATTTGTCACAACAATAATGAGGATTCAAACTTGAACGGGAGACTAAATACAACAGAACAAAATGGAGTGCATCTTAAAGGGATAGTTCACCCAAAAATGAAAATTTGATGTTTATCTGCTTACCCCTAGGGCATCCAAGATGTAGGTGACTTTGTTTCTTCAGTAGAACACAAACGAAGATTTTTAACTCAAACCGTTGCAGTCTGTCAGTCATATAATAGAATTGTCAATGGAATTCGCACTCTATCTACAATCTCAATTAGGAGTGTCAATGGTCTATTTGACAGATCGGTGGTGGTAATGCACTTATAAGTCTGCGATCTGCCATAAAGCAAGAAGAAGAAGAAGACACGTCACGTGCCGGCTGTTGAGAACGCACTCAGGACAGTTCGGACATTGCAGCGAATTAGAGGTAAAAAACGATATAAATACTGTTCAGTTTCTTGCAAAGACTGATCGCTTCGTGTCTTTACACGCCAATGTATCGTTACGAGCCGCAGGGTTTAATTTGGTTTTGTTTGTTTTTTTGACTCTCAAAGCCGTGATTCCCATTCACTTCCATTATATGACTAACAGACTGCAACGGTTTGAGATAAAAATCTTCGTTTGTGTTCTACTGACGAAACAAAGTCACCTACATCTTGGATGCCCTGGGGGTAAGCAGACAAACATCACATTTTCATTATTGGGTGAACTATCCCTTTACCTTATAGAATTTAGCTGGAAACATAGGCAGATTTCAACTAAATATTTTTTATGTCACTATTCTGCACAGGGCCTCATATGGGTGAATCATTTCTTGAATCGTTTCATTTACACAAACCGTCTGAAAAAACAGGAGAATGGGTTGAATTTCCAACGCTTCATATAAGACAGAAGACCGTTTAGGAGAGCTCCTCAGCTCGCTTGGCTGTAAAGCTGCATGCACAATAAAACGTGAAATAAAAATCAGTCATGTAGTGTTTCATTGCGTTACACCTGGAAAAGCTACGCTATTCAGGGGAAAAAGCTGAACCAACTTCAACTACTGAAAAATGTCAGTTAGAAGTATCACTACTTTTGTGTTCTTGAAAATATTGGGGTGTAACTAACAAAAGGTTCACAAAGTAAAAAGAGAACATGTTATAGTACAGCATCATACGCACGCACACACACATTCCTCGCTTTGGTCTTTCTCTGGGAGGAATATTTGAACTCTTCTGTGACATATTTTTGGCTACTTTTACTCTCCACTGTTTCATAATTAGAATCAGCAACTGATCCATACTGAGAGGAACTGGTAGTGATTAGAAGAGCACAGAAAATGTGATGGTGGTGAACGTCTGTGCAAAATTAACATTGATAATGCTAAAGTGTTGCTAAGGTGTTTCTGAGTGGTTTTAACCAAGTGCCTATAGCAGTGGTTCTCAGTCTCTTTGACTCCAAGGTCCCCCCTACAGTCCTATCAATATTCAAAAGCTCCATGACTTTTGTTTCTATTTTTACTTACAATTTCTACTTGACAAAATAGAAATTAGCATAACTAGGAAAATGTATATTCATAAAATGTATAAAAATGCCCATGGAATAAAAACATTTTATTAATTTATATCACTTTTCTAGGTCTAGAAATCCACAGCATTTTCTAGGTTTTTCTAGACAGTTAGAATCCTGGATCTTCAAAGAAGAAAACAAATGAATAAGTGAATTAAAATAAGAAATATCATGATTTTTAGGTGAGTTAGCTTATTTTATTGCTTGTTTTGTCCTATTTTCAATTATTTCAAGTTATTTCAAGGACCCTGTTTGAAGTGTGCTGAGGCTCACTCTCTCCAGTGTAACTATGAGTTTTTGCCCATTTTAACCACCTGCAAAACAAAAATATAAATTGATAGCTTAGAAAATTATTAGTTCACCTCCTCTCAGTAAGCCACAAGATTTCAAGTATCATTCATGTCTGTAGGACAAACAGCACAGGACGAGTTACGTGGCAAATTGAAATACTCATAAATACGGAAATGCCCCTAACTTGTGCAATAGTGTTACCTGCCTTGGAAACCACCACCAATGGAGCTTTCACACAATAACATCTATCATGATTAGTTTTATTCCTCAGTGAAGAAGGACAAGGAAGAAAGTAAAGAAAGATTTGTTAAAGAGAGTGGAAAAAGCAAGGCCAGACTTTTTATGGTGCTTGGGAGATCTTAATGTCTATTTGGCGTTTCATATTCTAATGCACTCCTCACCCCATCTTGGTCTAATAACTGTAAAAGAAAGCAGAGAATTTTTCTGCATTCCAATGAAAAATCCACTCAATTTCTCTCATATGCGCTCCCTGGGTCTTCTCCGTGTCTCTGTGCACTGTCCTTGAAGTAGTGTCCATACACAGTGTTCCACGATTCCTCTGGCATAAACCAAATCGACCTGAAACGATCTTTGATTCAGAACAGATTGGTAGCTCTTTTTCCTCCAGACTAGATGGTCAGGGATAAGATGAGAGGAAAAATGGGTGAAAAGCATTGAACTACTGAAGAACAAGGACAGAGTCCTCACGTTGAAACCCAGCTGTGACTGTTAGGTTAGATGTGAGCACATGAGGCAGCTGTCAAATAGTTCTGATACACTTCAAGGCATTACTCCGACATGAGCACTCACTCTCTCTAACACACAAGCACACACACCTGTTTCATGGCAGTCTCTCCGATCTTATCCGAATGCTTGCGGATGCTCTCCAGGAAGTCTTTGAGGTCAGACATGGAGACGTCTCTGATGTGTGTGCGCAGACGTGGGATATTCTCTGCCATGATAGCGCAGAAACGATATGATCCCGCTTGAGGCAAACAACTCCCCTCCAACTGTTCCAGGGTTCGTAGTGCTGGGTAGTATCTGGGGTAGAACACGGCAGGCTCAGAAAAGAAAGATTGCATATATCTGCTACTTCAAAAACCTTCCCACTATTAATGAGCTCACATGCAGGGCTCGACAATAAGGATTTTCAATGGCCAAAAAGCAACAACTTTTTTATGTGACAAAAATATTTTATATGAAGAAATTATTGATTAGTACATAAATAATATTTATTGCGGCATTTTCATATACATGTATTAAATATTTTGTAATACTTTTTAAATGTTATTTCAATTTTTTATACTTTATTTTTATTGTTTTTCATATAGTTTATAATTTAGAAAAATATATATAATATACATATATTATTTAGATTTTTTATATGATTATTTTAATTAAATCTTTTAATATTAAAACTTTTATTTTAAAATATTTTATTTCTTCTACAATTGTATTATTAATGCTAACTGAGGTTTCCAAGATTATTACAATTTACTCTCGCAATTTCTACAATTACTTTTTCAGCCATTTATAGATCATTTTAACTTTGTGACACTTAAATCGGCAAAGTCCGCAAGAAACAAAGTTAAATACATAACAACAATCCAATACACATACTGTACATGACCAACAAATATAAGACTGCACTGGAGGGCAAATGACAGTCATGTAAACCGACCCAAAACTCTCTCCAGGCCATCCTTTTTGTTGAGCCTTGCACATGCAGTACATGTTTTTAACCTTTGGTTAAAGACTTTGATCTCAGCATGATAACAATTTAACCTAATCAAGATGATCTCAGAGATGAGCTATGCTCATCGCACATGCACACACACTCAATACAGCATCACAGTCACGCTACATTACACAGCAGACCCGATGCCGGGGAGAGAGTCTCTCTTGGCCGACCCTGCCGCTACCTCCAGGCTAATGGCAAAACCAAGCACACGAGAGAGACAGAGAAACACGGAGAGCAGAGATAAATAAAAACCAAAAAGGATGGAAAAGTTGCAAGCCAATGCTGATGCTCAGGTCACACGGAGGACACAGCAAGACAGCAAATTCAATACTTCAAAAACTTTTAGAGTGGCACTTTCAATCACAACTTTGGTAGACTAGCTTTTTCAAAGGTTTTTACAATTTTAGATCCCTTTGCGAGGGACCCCCTTCTAAAAATATAAAGGCAACAATATATTTTCTATGTATTAAAAACCAACTTTTATTTCCTAAGGAAAATGCAAAACTCAATGCTAAATCAATTCAAATTAATAAAAAATTGATGTACTGAAGCTAATTATTAATTTTATCTGGAAATTATTCTGTATTAAAAAAAAATTTTCGACCCACTACTAGAGTGATTTAAATTACATTTATTCTTACAGTTAACTTTAAACAGTCCTATTGTATTGTGTAAAATCTTTTTTTCTCTCTTACACATTATTCACAGATGGCCCCTGAGAGTTGCAACATGCTTGTATATGAGAGCTGAGTGCTCATGAGGATCATGTAGGTTAAAATCCTGTATCATCTCCACCCGGTTCCCCCTTTCACACCCTCCACCCCCCTGTCAGATGTCTACTGTCCTTGACCATAAAAACTAAACCAAAAAAAAAAACATATATAAGAAAGATGAGATTTGGGATGGTTCGATGTTTGCAGCTGCTACAGCTAAGAAAATCCAATCCAAATGTGTCCTCTGTGTCTCTGACTCCTGACAGCTGCCCAATGCTGCTTTGGACATCTCAGACATCTGAAAAACTCTCTCTCTGTCCGTCTGGTCACTGATTCAGTCACATCAGACTGGATGAGATACTCCAGTGGTCCAGCGATCTGTTTAAATCATCAACACCTCGCTCTCTCCTTCCCAGCTGGGAATGTCCTGCTCTCAAATATACTTTAAGTAAAGGTATTAAAATATTTTGGGCCCTGAACTGCCCTTGTGTGTTTAAATTCAACCTTGATAAGTTTCTCTAGTGCCACCTAGTGCTCATCTGTAGCATACACAAAAAAGGCATGTGCACAGATGTCATACCGTTTGGCTCTCATCTGCTCCTGCAGTTTGCTGTACATCTCCAACACTGCAAGAAAAACATACATGTGGAATTATGGAAAAACAGTCAAGAGCACAGCATGTGAGCTTTCAAGCAGTTACAAAAAAACACACACCACAGTTAAAAAATTTGGGGTCAGTAGGATGTTTTAAAGTCTCTTAAGCTCACCAAGGGCTTTACATTGGATCATTTTCTGATCGAAAATACACTGAAAACAATGCTGTGAAATATTATTACAATATAAAATAACTGTTTTCTATTTTATTTAAAAATGTAATTTATTCCTGTGATGGCAAAGCTGAATTTTCAGCAGTCATTAGTCCAGTCTTCAGTGTCACATGATCCTTCAGAAATCATTCTGATATGCTGATTTGGTGCTCAAGTAACATTTCTTCTTAAACAGTTGTGCTGCTTAATTTTGTGGAAAACTTTTTTCAGGAATTTCCAATAAAGAAGAGCATTTATTTGAAACAGAAATATTTTGTAATTATTCTAACATTATCTAACATTGTAACATTATGTCTTTACTGCCACTTTTTATCAATTTAATGCATCCTTGGTGAAATATTAAAGGTAGGGTAGGTAATTTCGGAGAGGCTAGCGATAGCAAGCCTGCTTTGAAAGCAAGATCCCACCCTCCCTGCATAATCATTCTCCAAAGCCACGCCTCCTCCAAAACACATGAACACACAGGCAGAGCAGATGCTAACCAGCGGCATGATGAGAGACGATGTTGGTGGAGGGTTGAATGCAACGCTGTCAGATTACCTCATGTCTCATTCACCGGCGAGAAAACAGTACAAAGCACATAATATTACAATAATAATCTTATAATATATATATAATAGCTGAACTCAAAGATCTAAGACTTTTTCTATGTACACAAAAGGCCTATTTCTCTCAAATATTGTTCACAAATCTGTCTAAATCTGTGTTAGTGAGCACTTCTCCTTTGCCGAGATAATCCATCCACCTCACAGATGTGGCATATCAAGATGCTGATTAGACAGCATGATTATTGCACAGGTGTGCCTTAGGCTGGCCACAATAAAAGGCCACTCTAAAATGTGCAGTTTTATCACACAGCACAATGCCACAGATGTCGCAAGTTTTGAGAGAGCGTGCAATTGGCATGCTGACTGCAGGAATGTCCACCAGAGCTGTTGCCCGTGAATTTAATGTTAATTTCTCTACCATAAGCCGTCTCCAAAGGAGTTTCAGAGAATTTGGCAGTACATCCAACTGGCCTCACAAACCCCGGACCACGTGTAACCACACCAGCCCAGGACCTCCACATCCAGTAATTTTGTTCAGTGTGTATATATATATATATATATATATATATATATATATATACAGTGGGTACGGAAAGTATTCAGACCCCCTTATATTTTTCTCTCTTTTTTATATTGCAGCCATTTGCTAAAATAATTTAAGTTAATTTTTTT